CTTGCAACCGCTCCGTGGGCTTGCAGCCTGGTCTGTGTGGAGCAGCAGCAAAATGTGCTGACCAGAGCATTAGTGCAGAATTCAGAATGTGACTTTCAGAATCTCGGGCTGTCTCCTGCTCTTTCTCCGGGTCTCTGTCTTCTGTTGACCCAAATTATTTTCGCCTTCACTAGTTCTGATGTATTATTCATGTTACTTCAATGCAGTTCTACTTTTGATAAAGGAATGGGGTTTCCCCATTTTACTGTAAACATTGTGAGGAAAAGCTTTTGGGACTTTATTCCAGTCCTAGTTTAGCTGTAACTGGATAAGAATAAAAATATCAAAACCTTAGCTTGTCATTAGAGATTAAGCATTATGAAGAAATAGGAACATGCTTCGTTTTGACTACGTGCAACGTATGAAACAGAAGCTTCACCTAATTGTGCATTACTCCTTCAAGAGTGTCAGAAGTCTGTTATACATAGCAACGTTAAAAACCACACAGAATCTTGTAGTGGAGAAAAGGAATTTTAATGTAAAAGAGACCAGGTGGGAATTGATGCTGAAGCAGAAGTAAATATGTACATTTACAAAGGGAATCTGTGACATATAAAGCATAACACTATTTCCTGGCAGTTCTTTCCATTCGATGGCACTAATATCTCTATAATTAAGAAAAATTGAAGTATTTAGAAGAAAACTGTATACTGTTATAAACCATTCTTTTTGAAATTGAACAGCTGTAATTTCTGCTAGTGGAACAAACTATATTATAAGAAAATGATTATTAGTTTAAAATGCAAAATTAAATGAATGCAAAATTAACAAACAGATGGTGAAGAATTATTGTGTTTTATTTTACTCCTGGGTAAAAGGGCTCATGCGCGATTGTAAAAATGTCATCACACTTCGTAAACCTGAAAGCAAACAGAATTTGCAGTTGTGCACATCTGTTTTGGGACACTGCTAAAGGGTTGGAAGAATCAATGTTGTTTTCAAATAAGGGTATTCATCAAAAGGATATCATTTACTTAACAGTTATGGCTTCTGCTAAGCATCAGACTTAATGTTCTGTGGAATTCATTACAAAATTTGGCAGCTTTTTTTCTTCACAAGCTACTGAGGCAGCGTGCTGCAAAATGAAATGAACAGCCTCATCTTATCCTCCCCTTCCTGAACCCCAGAACACCAGCTGAATTACCTGCTCGTGTTAGACCAGTCATTTCAGGATTTTAAATTCTAAGTTGAGATGTTGCTCTTCATGATGCTTGCCCGAGGAATGTCAGCGGTGGAATAGGGTGGAAAGGCAAGGAGCTTATTTGTTTGTTTGAGTAGCTAGTGAATTAAAAAAAGGATTATATAATGTTTGGAGATACCATGTTTTGGGAGGAGGAGTGAGAGAGATATGGGTAAGTGACTAATTTAGTCAAATAGAAAAAAACCCTAAAAGCCCCAGCCAGATGAAACATGTGAAGCTTTTATTAGAAAAGAAATTATATTAATGTTTCAAGCTGGTAGTTTCAAAGTATGCCATCTAATTGCTTTATTTGAGCTCAATTTACAAAAATTAGTGAACTGAAGATGTAGGATTTTGTTTATGATGACTCCATGCCATTTGGAGAGCGCAATTTAGGAACAGCCAAGGAAATAGGAATTATGAACAATAAGGTACTGATTGCAGTCAGTGGGGAAGGAATACTAAGGAGGTGTTCACTAATGAGGAAGGTATTAAAGGCAGGAAATTCTTGTATTTTTTTATGTCTGTACATAATCCAGAGTTCCTTGTCACTCTAACCTTACTATTACCTTGTAAATTAAGGTTATCGTTGAGTGCCTATAGTGACTTCTGCTGACATTAGCTTTCTGTTAAACCAAGTTAATGTACCTCCAAAATCTTGGTTAAAAGAATGCATTATTAAGACCGTAAAATCAACCACACAAAGTTAGGACATGCCAGAAGACAGGTTGTCTGCATGCAGTTAATATCCTTTGGGCACTGATCACGCAGTCTTTGATTATACGATCACTTGCAGAACAGCTAGTGCCTAGTTCAGTCCATGAGATGCGACACTGCTGTCTGAGTAAAAACCTCTTCAGTATTACATTTTTTCAGTGTTCAATATTTAGGTATCTAGACTATTGAGATACTGCTGAAAGAGAAGAATTATTCATTTCCACATCAGTTTTTTATGATGTTTCTATATAACAAACACGTAAATAACTATAATTTTTTTGAAATAGCAGATTTATGTGGCCTTTTTATGCATCTTAGGCTTCATTTTCCCCAAGAGAAGTTAATTTTTATATATATATATAACTAAAAACTATCTGCTAATTTGGATGACAAATTGAAAGAGTTTCAAAAATATTCAAACTTACTTAAAAAGTTGCATTGATGTTGCAGTTCTTTCCTCACACTGTTGGAGTTATGAGTGCACAATCTATGTAGAAATCAAGACTGTATTTTTTGGGGTGTGGGAGGGAAACAGGTTTTTAACTGTAAGGCTAAGGCCTAAAAAAGCTTTAGAAAAATTTTACTTAGTGCCCTGCCCAATATCCTATCTCTCTGAGAGAACTGAAACTAGATCTGTTCTGCAGGTCATCATTCTACAATTCAGTTGCCTATCTTAAGTGTTTTGGTTTTTTTCTCCCGCAAGCAAGCCACAACTTTTTGCAATGTGTACCCTTTTGCCCCTGTGCAAAAGAGGGTGAAGTCTCTGCTTCTTTGGTGCAGAGACTTCTTTTGAAGAGTCTCTTTTATGCACTAAATGCATGTTTGATCTGCAAGCCTTTTTGTATTTGCGCGTACGTCCATAGTTAGAGTTGTGCACATGTGAGCCTGCTCATGCCTTTGTGTCTCTGTGTAAGCGTGTTGCCTTGTGACTGACTGACTGGATCCTGTCCTTGTGCCAGGGAAAAAAAGGGAAAGGCAAGACTTCCCAAACTGCAGATTTAAAACCTTTATGGTTACCTGCAGACCAGCTGGCTAAGTGATTGTGATACAGCACTTGGAGTCAGAGGAAATGTAGTTTTCCTCCTTGTGTCTTCAGGTTGATTTTGTTGATGGTTCCACTCTGCCTCATTCTTTCTGCATTCCCTCTCCTTAAACTTTCTAATCCCTTTTCCCTAGGTTCCTTTTGAGATCTGTCCCTTCACCAGGTCCTTTATCTTAGCACATCAGTTCCCTCAACTCTTTTCCAATTTTAATGCTCAGTTTTAGTTAATTGGCCCTTGAAGTATCATCCCTGCCCCTCCTCAGCTTCCATCTCCATCCATGGTTTTGCCTCCTGGTCTCATCAGACTCGTTCACGCAGTGTAGCTACTCCCTTCTGTCTCTTTGATCCTTATTTGTCCATCTACCTACGTAGTGGACACTCTCATTCCTCAGACGATTTAAGCGACAGTAGTATCAAGAGCCTTAGGGTTGTCTGCTTTCCATTCCAGTGGCTTATTGTACTTAGGCTTAGAGTATTTATTACAGACTTCCTCTCTCTAATCCGTGTTGGACTGAAGCAGTTTTTGCAGAAGGTACAGAGTCCCACCAGTGCTAGAAATTGGAGAGGATCATCCATACTCAATGAAAGTTGATTATTTTTCTGTGATTTTTCACTGACAAACTTTTGCAAATGTTTTGCATTAAAAAAGTAGTTTTCTATAATGTGTTTACATCTAGATAGATCTGCAGGGTAAGGGCAAAAGTTGCATCCCTCACACTAAAATTCCTGCAAAATCACAGGTCTTGTGAGTGAGATTGTTTTTAAGATAAACAAAAGGTTTTTCTTACTGAATTTTCTATTCTCGGAAATGCATGGAAAGTTTTGACTAAGTCTTCCAAAAGCATTGAAGAGAATTGAGGCATATATTATGTGAAGCTTTAGCCCAACTTCTTATCATTCAGAAAACTGACATGAATAGAACAGAATTTATATGGAAGTTTTTGTAAGCAGTACACGTTCACATCACTTCATTGGTAGTGCCACGCTGACGAAACCTTTGCTGTGGACTTAACTGTGTTACCAGTAGAGAACTTCTGTCAGCATATTTTAAGCAAGCTTCAGCTCAAGACTGTCGCCTCAATTTAGATCTCCCTGTGGATGTGTCTACCTGTGAGCTGTGCTTAAATTCCAATTATAGGCAATAGAGATCTGGCTGGCATTGTCAGTGGAGCTTGAAAATGGGACTCACTGTTTGGCCAAATGAATTGCAGTGAAGTAAATTCCATATACTAAGTCTCTAGTAAGTGTAGTGGGAGCTTGAACACTTGGCTCAGATGCAAAATTTCGAGCCTGAAGTTTAGATGTCCTCATCTCAAGCCTTGTGTCACTTGGAAGCACAGCGTGACTATCAGCAGTACGTTCTCCTTTCACTGAGTTTTTGTTAACTGGCTTTCCAAGTGTAGTTACGGCAGCCTACCTGTAGCTACGGAGGATGGGTGGCATAGCTGTAACCTGTACAATACTTAAGCCACTTCAGAACCATTATATGTGATTTAGGAACATAGAAGCTGTGCTGGATTAGACAGAAAGTTGACTTCGTCCCAATATCTTCCGCAGTGTCCAGTAACAGATGCCTGGAGAAGATCATTAAACAACAATCGTGTAGCAATGTTTCCTCCAATTATTTTTTTTCAAGCCTCCAACAATTTGTGGCTCAGACTGTGCTCTGCCAACAAAAAGAAATGTCTACACATACTTCTAAGACCTTCCAAGCATGAATCAAATGAAACTGGCACAATAGTCTGTTTTCTGAGCCTGCCAAAAAGCAGCCTTAAACCAGAGCTGATGATTTCTGTTCTTGCCTTGTTTGTCCTGAAGTTGCCGATGCTGAAGCCTAATCACAATTTAAATTACATTAAACATTATTGACCTTCTCATTGTTGACATGCTAACTAAACAACAGGCTCGTGTGTGCTCTTCTGTCATGGTGGATATTAGATGAGAATTGAGGGAATAGTTGGTTGTTAGCTGTGGGAAGGCTTAGGCTCACTCAAAACATTTACATTATCCTAAATCTTGTAGAAAGCGAGGACGTGAATGAAAAAAATGGTTTTCCTCATGAAAGTGTGAAAACAGCAGCAAAAGCAGAGGAAATTGTATGCCTGCAAGTTATCCCACCAGCTTATATACCGCTGAGGAGAACACAGCTTCAAGGCCCACAGACCCTTCGGTAGAGCTTCTGAACAGACAGGGTTTGGAACATTTCAGATTGTGTGGGGAAGGATTTGTGAGCCGTAAGGTTCTCATGTTTTCCTCTACACATTTCAGGTTTCAAATAAAAAAAATGCTCTGTCTTGGCAAACTTGCTTTTTACAGGTTATTCACCTATCACAACTATCACAAAAAGCACCCTTGCCAAACTTGAAGGCTTTACTGTCCCCATTTTTAGGTGTCTTGACATCCACACTATTTACTTAATGTATTTTCTTGCAAAGGTGGAAAAAGGAGGCAGCTAGTGGGAAGGAGGAACAAAGTAGTGATTTATAGAGAGCCTGAAATCGCCACACTTAAAGGGACTTTTGCTTTTCTACCTTGATTACATGTGTTGAGTCACTGATTGAGGTGTTGGGTGACCATCATTTGTGTCCTCTTGCCTTTGTTCCTGTATAGGTAACTGGGCAGCTCAGGGACAGATGGGGTATCCAGTCAGGAGTTCTGAATTGCAATATAGCCTTCCTCCGTCGTGTGTTGACCTTGGCCAGATTGCGTTTCTTCTGGTTGCCACATGTTTTTTCATGCAGTTTTAGAAGCAAAACTTGGTAGTTTATTTCTAAAATTGAGACTTAGGGAGTTTTTAAAGCTTCTTTGGAGTACTCAGAGCATGAAGTGGACACTGTAGTAAAATTGTAATACGTACGTTCTCTGATAAAAAACATTATAGCTTAGATTACAGTTACAAGAGAGAAATATGAAGTTTAATTTCTTCAGTTTTGGTATATGCTAGGAATTGAGGAACAATAATAACTGACCTCTGATTGACTTACATGCTATAAATTCAAGTAATTTCCTAAGTTGCGACGTGCACTGGAGCAGGCTGCCCAGGGAGGGTGTGGAGTCTCCTTCTCTGGAGACATTCAAACCCCGCCTGGACGCGTTCCTGTGTGACCTGCTGTAGGGGATCCTGCTCTGGCAGGGGGGCTGGACTAGATGATCTCTGGAGGTCCCTTCCAACCCCTGACATTCTGTGATTCTGTGATTGATACAAAATAGAAAATCTAGAAGGTAATTTCGAGGACTCCTGGAAATGCTATTAGTGGTATTTTGCACCTTTTCTAATCAGAAGTTCAACTCAAGGCCATTAATTCTTTTTATGTTGCCGTCATATTTCATTGTGCTCTTAAATACTTGTTGTTACTTAAGATAGTGTGTTTGACATTAGAGGTGCTGACAGTGGTTAGCATCTGTAAGCAATGCAGAGCTTTTCTAGATGATGAAGAAATCTTTGTAGATTATCAGAATTGTCAGAGAAGACATTAATCACTGTTTATACTAAAATTTCTTTGCAGTCTCCTTGATGACAGGATGCTACGGTCCAGTTCTTGTTAGTCGCAGATTTGTTTGAGTGCAGTTATCAGTAGTTAAATATTTTGAAATTTGTTCTTACAGTAATGTGTTAAATTGTTTAAGTAAGGACAGATGGCTTGGGTGCATTTTTGGGTATAGTATCATAAAATAAAAATTGCCTATTGTTATTGTAGGTTTTGTCAATTGACCTTTGTTAAGCAAAGTAGTTCATAATCAGTGAAGCCCTTTTGTCCTTTTGATTAAAAAATGTTTTCCAATGCCTAATGCTAACATTTAACTTTACTGTACTAATTGGGTTGCAACTAAGTATTTATGCAAAATTGCTATTTTAGCCTTCCTTAATGCTTTCCTTCTATAGGGTTGTTATCTGTCCAGTTGCTACGACAGTAGTACTATAAAGTAATTATAAGGGCAATAAAATAATGATAAAAATGGTAAATATGACCTCTGATTTGTTCTTCGTACCATCTGAATAAAATCTTATGTTATCATAAGCACAGGCATCTCTTTTTCATTTGAACTTGCACTGAGTGTTGGAGTATTTCGAAGTATGGAGGCAGCAGGAAGGTTGATGTGAAGTTGGAATACATCTTTTGTCAATTTTATTTTTATTAAATCATGGAGGAAGGTTAGAAGGATATAAAGAGCAGATAGTTTCTCTTGTCACTGTTTTTTCCAGTTTGGCCCTCTGTTTCCATTAAGGCCAGCACCATTCGTGATGTTCACCCGAGCTTCTAAGCCACAGGCAGAGCTCACCTTTTTGTTCAGCTGATTTTTGGTGCAACTGGGATTCTAGCCCAGCGGTACAAGTTTTTGTCTTCCTGGACGTTTTCTTCAGGGTTCCTGCTACTCCAGTTAGTGGAGCATGTACATATTAGAAAAGAGAAGAGATGATCGATCAGGTTTTCTATCATTTTCTATTAATCACTTAGTTCTTCCTCTTTTACTGTATTTGTATAACAGTGTCATTTTTGATCCAATGGGATTAGTGAATAAAGGGAATTTCAGAATGACAATTGAAAGACCACATAACTATTTGCTTTTGAAAACGAGGTCCTTTTCTGTCTGTATGAAAAAACAGTTTTAAATTATGGAAATTAAATAGTAAGAAGTAGCAGATGTCTGGATAGTATCAGAGCTCTGCTGCTGTAGGCAAGTGCAGGACCTGGCTAAAGAAGGTGGTTGGTAACCAGTGAAGGATTTCTTGAGTAGAGACAGTCTGCTGACTCTGCTTTAGTGATGTTTATTTTATTGAATGTACTATGAATAAGTACTGAACTATCTCTCTTTATACCTTGTAAAGTTGTTTTTGTGTAGAACAGGACTACAAAATTATTTGATCCATGAATAAAGCAGTGTAGGACTTACTTTGACAGCTTACCGTTTTCCTGTACCTCGGATTCACCTTCTGCCCCCCTCACATAACGCTTTATCTTCTGCTCGTGCTAAGGAAACTGAGGACTCCGTACCGTGCCCAATGCTGTCCTCATCCACTGTGGCAAAGACACTTCCAGTTCGTGGACAATGTGCTTTATTTCCTCCTTCCACCTCCTACTGTCCTGATGCCGTATTTTAGCCCTGGAGTAGTAAAGTAGTATTTGTTACTGACTTTATTTAGCAGAACTTTTAATGTTTTTTAAAAACGAATATAGTTCACTGTTCACATGCCTCCTTTCTCTGTGGAAATCAGTTAACTGTAATAGCTGCTTACTTGTTCTTCTGGGGTCATGGCGTGTGGCCGGGTTTCAAAGAAGCATTGGCTTCTACTGCTGGAAATGTAACTCTTCTCATCAGCAGCTGTTGCCAAAAACATCCCTTTGGGCATTTGTTTCTTCAGACTGCTTTATCTCTCTTATAAATTCAGGAAATGTTGATATTCTGTGCTTTTTATTTGCTTCAGATGATATATACCACATTGTTTTTAAAGTGTGTGTTTTACTTAGCTGCCAAATGCTTTTCATTGCCAGTGCAGTTTAGCAGATGGGTTTGAAGGGTTCAATTAAATGTAATTTGGGCTTCCATTTTTCTTCCAGCATCTTTACATGGTTCCTTAAATCAACATTAACATTTTCCAAGGCTTTGCAGTAATCCTGTAGTTTGCTCATTTGTAGTAATTTCATCATTTAGTCATATCACATTTGGGAAAAGATATCTTCTGATTTTATGTTGTTATGTACCGTTGTTGATTGATAGTTTTGAAAAACAGGTGTGATGTCTAAAACTGTCGTTTATATCACTATTTAATGCATTATTGCCAGTAAACGTTGTAGTCTTTGAGCGCTTGGAGTTTTTTCATCATTTTCTTTCCCAGTTAAGTAATTCTTAAGGTTAATTATGGGATCTAAAAAAGTCTTTGTTGAATATTTCGTTGAGGGACATGTTTTGGACCTTAGCTACTTCCAAGTTCCTGTTCCTGCTTTTTTTTTTTTTAAACAAGGAATATCTTTGAAAAACGTGTGGCCAGTGAGAGTTGGGCCGTAGCTGTAATTTGGGCCCCAGTGGGAGCGTCGAGTACCAGCTCGTGCAGGGAGTTGTGCACTGGTCAGTGTGCGGCTGTAGTTCAGGAAGTCGGAGGCTTTGGGGTATATTTTCATGATCTCACGTCTACATTCAGGATTTACCTTTCACAGCAATCCTCAGCGAGTGTTTACTGAGTATATTGGTTCCTAGAACAAATTTTTTGCGTGACTTTGGTTTTGTTGGCAGTCCTTCAGTGTAATTACTATTGCTGCCTTCTTCACCTGCTTGAGAAACTCTGTGTAATTGCTTGCTTGTCTTGTTGCCCCTCCTCTCCTCTGCATTTCAGCTAGTCAAGTAACGGAATACATCTTTTGCCTACCGGTAGTAGGTGTTAGAGACAGGAGTAGAGGTGAGAAGTCCTGCAGATCTGAAGATTAGACTAAGTGTGGTAGCTCAGAAACATGGCAGTAGCTGTCCTTGGTGACCTGCTTTAATTTCTGTTCCAAAGCATTTTATCTTTTTAGGCTGCGGTTGTGTTTAGCATAAACTAATATTTTTTTCTTTCTCCTGTCCCTGAGTTGTGGTGCAGGCAAATATTTTCCTGGAGATGTAAATTTCATCTGGTTTTAAGGATATCAAGGTAGCTGTTAACACAGGCAGCTTTGTGATTTCTGTTTTCATACAGGCTGGTTTTGGTATCTGTGGACTTGTAGTAGCACTGTTTCATGCCTAATTTCATGTCAGGCTTTGAAACAGAAGAATGACAGTGATAAATACTGTCTCTCTTCAAAGAATTGAGCAGACGCAGTATGTAATTTTTTTTCGGTTGGTTTCTGTTCATATTTGGATGTTACTTGACACTAGAGCTAGCAACCAAACATGCCAGCATTGATATTATATTTTTGTTATGAAAAACAAGAGTCCCCAAGCTCAGTTGTTGCTTTATGTATGTATGTCTTCCTGTGAGCCGCTGACCTCTTTCTTCTTAAGTTTACTCCACATCTTACGGTGCTCTGCTCTAGCCTTAAAAACTGTTGTTGCCTTGGTGAAAAAGTGCAAAAGCGTGTTACAGTTCTTCAGGGACTGTAACGAATCCAAGAAGGAAAAAAGGTTGATTAACTGAATCAGGAAGGTGTGGGTGATATTTTACAAGTGGACCAGTGGAATCTGTTCCCTCTTGACTAAACAACTCAAGGGTTATTGGGTAGTTCTTTCTGAGAAATTATTTCTTTACAAATGTGACTATGGTCTTTAATAGTAATTATGACTTCTCAAAGTTTGATGCTATTACTTGTGTAACCTTGAAAGGAGAGATGAGAAGAAAGTGATGGGTTGTGTAATGCATTATCATCCCAGAAAGAATTGTATAATGTCAGTAAGATTTTTGGTAGAGCATGATGTTTCATTTCCATTTGCATTTCTGATTATAGCGTCTGCAGTTTTACATTACAGCGTACAGAGCTTTGTGGGATTTATTTACAGCCTATTGACAGGGTACTGTGGTCTGCCTTTGTTACGCAGAGTAAGTCTCCAAGTCTCTTTGTTGAAGACATAGCTCAGGTTAGATAACATACAGAAGAAAAGTTCTTTTCTGTGACAAGAAGAATCCCGGTCCTTGGAGTGCATTTAGACTGGGTTTTGTTAAAGATTTCAAATAGGAAAGATACGAGAGTGCTGCTGAAAGATGCTGTCTGCTAGTTTACTCCTTCCTACTGGGCAACATGTTTGTCCGTTAAATGACGCTGGGGAACAGGTCTAGCTGAAAAAACTGGGTTTTGAACAGTGTGTTATGTTTGGTTTTCAGCGATGTGCATATTGTAAGCACCTTGGAGCCACTATCAAATGCTGTGAAGAGAAATGTACCCAGATGTACCATTACCCCTGTGCTGCTGGAGCAGGCACATTTCAGGATTTCAGTAACTTGTCCCTCCTTTGTCCAGACCATATTGATCAGGCTCCTGAAAGATGTAAGTACAAAGTATTCAACTGACACAATTTCACCAGATTTTATGAAAACTGCCCTGTGGCAGGATCAACTTCAGAGTGCTTCTGTTTAGACCTATTTTCCCAATTCACCCAAGAATTCAGGTATGTTCAGGTATGAGAAAGATGCAGGTTCATACCCTTCTGTTTTTAAAATGTGACAGTGGTGCACAGCAGAGTTAGTATTTCTCTCTTTCTTATTCCCTCACTCATTCATTCATTCATTCATTTATTTATTTGTTTGTTTGTTTGTTTAAATTTATTTATTTATTTTACTGGCGAAGGGTTTGCTCATGAGGTTCTTCCATCGGGATTTAGTTCAAATCAATAGACTTGCTTACTTGCCGTAACTGAAATTAGAGCAACAATATTGCAAACGCTTCAGCTAAATAATAGGTTTAAATCTGTTAGGAGCTTTATTTTGTACTTGTTCCGAAGAAGAGTTAATCTTAATGCTCTCTTTTTGTCTTAAGGAGAGTAAAACTATTTCTTTTGGTAAGACTTTATTAAGGTTTAAAATGAATGTACTTTTGTTACAAAAAGATTAGTTGAGTGTATCAGAAGACCAAATTAAAAGAGTGGTTATTAAGTATATTAATTAAATTTGAATTTCTTAAGAACGATCAAGTTTTGTATGATTAAGTACTGTTAAAGAATTTCTTGGCTTTCTTAAGTTCTTGGAATTGTGCATCGTTTTGTACAGAATAATAACTGAAAACAATTATTTCTTTGTAGCAAAGGAAGAAGCAAATTGTGCAGTGTGCGACAGCCCTGGAGACCTCTTAGATCAACTTTTTTGTACTACCTGTGGCCAGCACTACCATGGGATGTGCCTGGACATACAAGTTACACCTTTAAAAAGAGCAGGTTGGCAGTGTCCTGATTGCAAAGTGTGCCAGAACTGCAAGTAAGTGAAACTTAAATAGGGTCGTGGAGGAGGACATTGTGAGATTTATGTGCTGTGGTTTTAAAACATCTGTTTTATTAACTGTTCTTTTTTTTCCAAAAAATGTAGATGATTTGTCCACATATATCAGTTCTGATATTGTATTAAGTAGCTGAACAAATGCTTTTGTTGGGAGCTTTCTTCTAGAAGAGCTGGGCTGGAACTTGGATAACACATATATAACACAGGGTTGTGCATTATGTCCCCAGACTTACCAATATCATAGAATTATACAACAGTTTTGGCTGGAAGAGACCTTCAAGATCGTCAAGTCCAACCTTTTCCTGGCTCTGTCAACAGCACTAAACTGTGTCCTTCAACGCAACATCTACCCTTCTCTTAAACACCTCTGGGGATGGTGACTCAGCCCCTTCCCTGGGCAGCCTGTTCCAGTGCCTGACAACCCTTTCAGTAAAGAAATTCTTCCTAATATCCAACCTGAACCTCCCCTGGTGCAACTTAAGGCAATTTCCCCTTGTCCTATCACTTGCCCTTAGGGAGAACAGACCAACCCCCACCTCTCTACAACCTCCTTTGAGGTGGTTGTAGAGAGTGGTAAGGTCTCCCCTCTATCTCCTCCAGGCTAAACAGCGCCAGATCCCTCAGCTGTTGCTTGTGTGACACATGTTCCAAATCCTTTCCCAGCTTGGCAGCCCACCTCTACCCTCTCCAGCACCTCAGTGTCCCGCTTGTAGGGAGGGGCCCGGAAGTGGGCACAGTACTTGAGGTGTGGCCTCACCAAAGCTGAGTATCTTGGCAGTTTCTGGAGAGCAGCAAGACCTTCTGACTTTTTCTTCCTTTTATACAAGAGGATTTTTCTCAGATTTACCAAACAACAAATTAGGTTATTGCAGTGCCTGTACAGTCTGGGAACCCGTGTTCTTACGCAGCTGACATTTCAGCTGTGTGTGTACCACATGCTGAGTAGGTCCTCTGCCTTAGACCCTCTCTTCTATTTTGTAATAGCTTTCAGGGCAGTTAATGAGTCATTATGAAAACAAAAACGTGGCTTAGTCGAGCAAAGAAGAAAAGTGACATGAGTGACCATGATTGAATTGTTACACCAGACAAATACTGAGACAAGAAAGCATAATTTTTTCAATATTTTAAGGGTTAGCTTAGAAAATTCTTGACGTTTGTTGTACACTTGTTCTCATATAACTTAATCTGATGGGCACTGCAGGGTTCTTTTGCTTGCTTGTTTGGTTGGGTTTTTTTAAAGGGCTTACTAGAAAAGAATTAAGTGTTTTGTTCGGCTTTAGTCAGATCAGCTGGGACAGTGTGACGGAAAAAAGCCCCATGGACCTGATCAGTTGGTGCTTTTCAGTTTTCCAGGCTGAACACTCAGTGTTTGCTAACATTTAGATTCACCGCTTTAAAGACGTTCCCTGATCACACACAGCTGATAGCAGCACCAGCAATGAAGTTAGAATAAGCACATTCTAAAAAATATCCCTAAAAATGCTGTGCTAGGTAATTACAGTATTTGCTAACAAACCTTCTCTCTAGTGGAAAAGTAGAAGAAAATGTGATGTTTTTATACCTATTACTTTATGGGGTGTGGCAGTTTCATGTAAGTGTTGAAGAACGGCATTTTAAGCATATCTCCATGTGAAGAGAGAGCAATTTACTCTTTTTTAAAGCAACAGGTCTCCCAGGTGGTGAAAGAGTAGCTAGTAATTTCTTTAAAATAAGCAGAACAAACAACACTTTTAGATATTAGCAAACTATTCGTCTTACTCTGAGCAAATTTATTTTAGCACTGAAGTTTGTGGTGGAGCTCTGTAATACGTGTCTGTGGGAAAATTGAAATCTCTTCCTTTGCTGTTTGTTTTGCTCTTGCAGTCATATTGGTTGACACTGGAGGAGCTCTGGTAGGCAGAGGTGATGGCTCGTTTTTTCCTTTGGAAAAAATACAGTTAGACTGTAGGAACAAATACAATTGCACATTCTTTTCAGAACGAAATAAAGTACTTATTTCACATTTTTGAACTGATTGCGATACAGAGAGGCTGTTAAATGTGCCTCTGTGTGTGTAAATGAAAGTGAGCTTATTTCTAGAAGTTGGAATGGTGGCACAGGCTCAGTACTTCTTAAAGTAAGCATAGAAGTATAAATTTGAGAGAAGTATCTTTGGAGCTCTTTTTAAGGGATGTTCATATATTTTCATGTGCTCAGCTGTGTGTCTTCCTGTTTAGACTTTTCATTAAATAATATTTTTTTTTGTTATGGCTTGTTTAAATATTTTTTTAACCACTTGTTACTTTTCTTAGGCATTCTGGGGAAGACAACAAGATGTTGGTGTGTGACACTTGTGACAAAGGCTACCATACTTTCTGTCTGCAGCCAGTTATGGACGCTGTACCAACAAATGGTTGGAAATGTAAAGTGAGTTGAAAGGTTTCTGAATAATTTGTTGTCATTATAGGGACCCAAATTTTGTCACCCGCCTCATGCTGTTCTAGATGTGTTGCAAACTGCAGTCGCCCTGTAGCATAACTTGTAATTTCTGAAGGGATCCCACTCGTACGTAGTCCTGTGGCTTTGCAGCTGCTGTGTGAGAGTAGCTGCCAGTGCAGTGACAGTAAATCAACCCCCATAGGGGAAAAAGAGAAGTATAGGAGCCAAGTGGAGTGAATAACCTTCATTTAGTGACGGCTCCTCATCTACTGTAAACTGAAATATAAACTAAAACCTATACAGTAGTAGTATATGTAATCTATACTGTGAAGGCTCTTTATATTCAACTTGCTTACCGGAATGGCAGTTCTGCAGCTCAAGGGTTCCTTTGCATTTGAGGAGGGCAGGATGAATTTGTTGTTTGATCAGTAGCTTTGTGAGTAAGTAATAATAAAAATAAAATTTCAGCATAACAAGGGAAGTCCCTGTCTATGTGATGTATGTAATTTTATAATCACTTTGTGGCAGACATTAAATGACTCAGATTAAGAGCAAAAAAGTTTGATCTCCTAAGAAATACTCCTTTCAAGTCACGGAGTAGAGCAAGGAAAGTTTTGTTGCTGTTGCACCGACTCTTCATGCTCTGTTATCAGATCCTGCATAATTTATTAGTGTTATCAAGGACAGAAACTTTGTTTAATTTAGTTCTAAATGGGAAAATGTCAGTTAATGGCAGTTGTGTCGCATTGTGAAATACCGTAATTAACAACTAAATTCTTGTGATCTCTAGAACTGTAGAGTATGTGCTGAGTGTGGCACACGAACAAGTTGTCAGTGGCACCATAATTGTTTGGTATGTGACAGTTGTTACCAACAGCAAGACAACTTATCTTGTCCTTTCTGTGAAAAACTGTGCCTGCAAGACTTCCAGAAAGATATGTTGCATTGTCACATGTGCAAAAGGTAAGAATCTTATTTTTTGTTAAGTTGTACTCAGATGCCTGAAGCTCACGACGAGCTGTGTGGTGTTGATGTGTTTCGGTGAAGGATGCAGAGTGTGTTTGATGTACAGTGCTGTAGCACCTTGTGCAGTGTCTTCATCCTGCATCCCTAAGAGCGATGAGCAGTAGCAGGTAGTCTTATTTTAGTCTTAGCAAATAAGTTTCAGTTGGCACCTACCTGAGCTGTACGGAGATGCGTGCTGCTGCTTCTGGCATTGTCTCTGGTTTGTGAGTAAGCAGACTAGAAGAATCGTCATCCTAGCTTTTAAAGACTGTTGTTTGCAATGGTCTATTTTTTTTTTTTTTTAGTTTTTCAAGTGCATATTCACTGTTTCATTTTATGACTTTTGCTATGCCAGTCATTATAAAAAAACGTTTAAGAATGTAGAGTGTATTTCATATTCAATGCTATTTTACCTTGCTGTGCAGTATCTTGGTATTGTTATAGATGTTGTGATGTCCAGTTGGCTTCAGTGAGAGCTCAGGTCTTCATGGTTAAATTTATTCATTGCTTGATTTACTGGCATATCATGCTTGTTTCTCTAGAAATATCAGTAATAAAAACATCGATTGAATTTTGTTTTCCGCATAGGAATAGAAAACATTTTTAAAAGTTTTTATTTTTTTAAATTGATTTTTACTAGGATACTTTATATTTTATTCTTAAAATCATGGTCATGCTATATTAATCTCCCCAGGTGGATTCACATAGAATGTGACAGATCTCCAGGTAGTGAGTTGGAGTCTCAGTTGAAAGACTATGTCTGCACTCTTTGTAAACAAGGAGAAGGGGATCAGACTCAGCCATGTGATCTGATGGACACTTCTGAACTCATTCCTGGACCTGATGGTGTAACAGGTAATCAGATGTAATCTGTATAATTTCAAACAGCTGACATCAAATACAAATATCTATAGCTGTCTCACTAAGTCTTTTGTGAACCAGCCACTCATTCTACTATTTGGAGTTGATGCATTCCTTTATTTAGCAGCAACTTCTCAAGCAATTCATGGGTAAGCAGTCTTCTCAGTATGCTTTCTGGCTTCAGGGTCCTTTATTAGAAACATAGGCAAATAAGCATCTTAAGCTTTAAACTTCTCTCTCTCTTTTTTTTTTTTTTTAAGTGGTACAGTTCATAGATGTATTGGTTTCAGAGCCGATCTCTGTTATCCATTTGTGCCTAACAACCAGGCCCAAGCTGGGTAGATGTTCCTGGAGACATCCAGTTTTCCCATTTCCCTCTTGCTGCCTGTCAGTCTCGTAGCGCTCGTTCTCCTCACAGTGTCCAGGTGGGACACAGCAGGGGAAGCTGCACTATGTTCAAGGGACAAGTATGTTAAACTAAACAGCTTTAAATCAGGTGTCCTTTAGTCATGTTTCTGAGAGATTCTTGTCTAAATGGACATATTCAGCAAAAGATGGGAAGGGAAGTTACAGGAAAAGGTGAAACAATTTTTAAAAAATTACTCAGTAACAGTGAGGAAGCACAGGGAGAGCTTGGATCTGAGTCTGGTGGGTCATGCACAAGACCTGAGTAATGAACTTGTAGCTGAATGCTTTTGTGGGTTTCACACCATGTGCTCTATTGGATAGCACCTACTCTCATCCTCCCAAAGAAGTACAGCTGCAGTTAAATGTGGAAGCAAGGTGAAAATCTAACAGGTTAACTGCAGCTCCGTTGCTGGTGCTTAAACAACACTTGTGCATTGATCTGTTGTTAAAAGAAATGGATAGTTTTCAAGAACCTGTCGATTTTTGACAGGAAAAGGGAAATGATGGACTACAACAAGACTTTAATTTTTGTGCATTGAAACTGATATTTTGTGTAAACAAGTCATTCTCTTTGATGTTAGCTTGTACACACGTAAGTGCGTACCTTCTGTGAGCAGTAAAGAAAGGATGCAAAAGATAATCCTGGAGGAAGGCCAGTGACAGTGGGTAAATGTATATAAATGAGCAGAAGAACTCTGGCAGCAAACACATGCGTAGAGTTAGAAAAAGTGACGACTTCAACCTTTGAAGATCACTTCCATTCTGAAAGGTCAGTAGAGGCTGTCACACTCTCAGGCAGTGTGTTCAGAACATTTTAGGAAGTTGTGCGAGTTGTAGCCAAAACTTTCACTGAAAAAAACCTCCCAACCTTGTACTGAAAATCCTTTTGAATAAGTAACAGGTTTATTTGAAATGCTAGAGTTTTAGCTAATACTTGAGACTTGTAGCTGGTAGAAGCATTGAGAAGCATACTCTTCTCCCCGAGGAAGAACAGGACTGTCATCTCAGCTACTAGCAGTAATCTGGAGCTATTACATCAGTACAGTCAGGCAGTGTTTTGTACCCAGGAGAGCACTTTTGTACATTAAAATCAAATTTGGAGCCAATCTAAATGATCATTTCCTCAAAGTTAAAATATCACTTTAAAGTTGGTGGAGTCTGAGAACAGTTTTTAGGTACTAAAAGTAGCATCACCTAATGATTCCTGGATTTTTGAACTTCAAAGGCTTTCTTGAGCAGAGAGCTGTATTTGTATGACTTTTTTTTATGCTGACATCCATAGAGGATCAGTTCCTTTTGAGTTAACATTTACTGTATACCTAGTTTTTCCTGCTCCTACTTGTCTGGTTGATTTTAATGAGTTTCCTTAACTGAAAAAGCTTTTACATAAGTTTAAAAAAAGTATTTCCTGGTTCTGTGCTCAATAACGACACTGTCAGTGCTCAGTAGCACCTTTTCCATACAAATTCCTGTGTTTAATAGGAGGAGCTCACACATTAAGGTATCCTAGCTCAAAAGTGGCAAAATGTAGCTTGCTTGTTGTTAAACAGGTAGGTTGAAAATCAGTGCTCCAAGTGCTGATAGTAGATGGAACCTCTGTGCCAGAAGCCATTGCAGCCTTCATTCTACAAGTTCCGTTGACTTTAGGAATTTAGCAATTTTGTTATTGCTCAGTTAATGCAAAAGTCTATGTCTCCGTGTAAATTAAATTTTCACAATCAGGTGTACGTAGTTGCCATAGATGCAGTTTTTCACAGTGTTTTTCGCGGTCTGAAAGGTATAAAACGGCTCCAGCATTACTGAGGGGAAGGCTCTTAATCTTTAAGGACTGCTACAGAATCCTTCTGACACGCGGAAAAAGACTCTATAACCCAGGAGGTTATAAAGTAGGTGTGTTTTAATAAGCACGCTGGTGCACGGGGGATCTCTCCTCCAAAGACATGCACACCTGAACGATGCAGTTCCCTTAGTTATATGCAGTGAAAGTTGCATATTCATGAGATGCCTATACATATTCATGAGCTATCCCAAAAAAGGCACTCAGTTCCGGGGGTTGGCTGCTCCTCCTCTTGACGTTTGTGCAGTGTGTCCTGGTGGTCGTGGGCAGGGGTCTTCAGGGATGAAGGCCATAGGTCTTCCTCCTAGTGAACTTTTCACCTTAGTCCCAAAACTGTTTGTCCTCAGCACTTTTCATAAGGTATCTTGTCCTCGAATTCCACAAGGGGCTTCGTCACTAGATGGTCATTGTCAGATACCCCTTATCATCAGTGTCCTTGTCAATTGTCTTTGTTTTATGTTCTTTTACAATGAGTACTACACAGCCTCCATCCTGTCAGCTTTTGTTCTTTTACAGCTGGTGCTAGACAACTCCCCCTATTGTGTACCAGAGGCCTCTGACTAACTGCCACCTAAGGATCCTGAGAGATTGCTTCTCATCTCGCGGGTTGCTTCTTCTCCAATCAGTTCTCCTTCACAGCTCATGGGATGCTACTCCCCCCATCAGTTCTGACCTTCTCATTGAGCTGTTCTGTCCCAACTCCTATCATGTCGTTAAACATCATTGTCTTAGCCAAAAGGTCAAACAGTGACAGCAACTACTGATGCCAAACTAATAGAACAAACATCATTTCCATTTTGGTAACTTCTTTGCCTCTCCTTAAGCTTGTACAAATGAAGTGGAAATGGAGAATGGTGGCGAGGATGCGACATTTCAGGAACAGCCCATCACTGGTGGTGGCCCTGGTCAAGAATCAGCTGCTGGATGTGTCGCAGATGGTAAGAGCTTTGCAGTCTGAGAAAATGCCAGTACAGAACCCTCTTCCATTCAGTAAGGTTTGTGGCACTTTTAAATTTAAGAGGAAGAAGCATCTGGAAAGCAGTAGGAGAGAAATGACATCAGTTTTGATATCTGAGCTCTTAAGCAAACATACTAACTCTTTTGCCAGAGAAGTATTTTATTGAAGACAAAGGTAGTCTTCTGAATATTTGTGTAGGAAAAGCCTGCTTTACTGTTTTGGTGGACTGACTTTCTCTAAAAGCTGGAGATACAGTTACCGCTATCTGTAGCTATTCAAATATTATAGTCACTCACTTTCTCTTCAAGCCTGATTTCTGACTCCACTGGATTAGTTTCCCCTGGTGAGTTTGGGGCATGCTGTAGAACTTCTTTCTGATTTATATGCTTTGTGGTTGTAACTCCACAAGTATCTTTGGTTAAGGATTTCTTCTTTTCTTTTTTCCCTTTGTAAGTAAAAGATAATTTGTTTAATAAAAGAATTTACTCATCCAGATGGGAGGTGGTGCCATAGCTCATAGTTTGTGTTCTAGCTCACCGATTACAAGACGTACCAGCCAAAGAGAAGAATGCAAATAGAACGTTTTCTGGGTGAAGTCCTCTAAATCTGTTAGTGACTGGTATCAGTGACCAAGAACTTTGTGCTGTGTCCTGTCCATTCACAGCCAATCTTGGAGTGTGGTGGCTCTAAGGGGAAATGAGAAACTTGCATTTAAAGCCAAAGCAAAAAAAAAAATACCTTGCAGGTTAATTGATCACTCTTTTATGCATCACAGCCTGTGGTATAAGCACCATGATTTAAAACTGTCGGTGAAGACACATTCCTAATAGAATTCTTGGCTTTGAACTGTAGTGACTGAGGAGGTTGTTGCCGTGTGAGTTTAAGAAGAGTGCAATAGAAAGTAAGTGGCCTGGGAGAGAATCGGGGTCCATCAAAAGGAAAATACGAGAAGCCAAATTCAGAGCAAAGAATGTGGTTCTCTGTAGAATGGATACAACACCCTGGAACCCCTTAATGAAGAAAGTCGTGAATGAAAGGTGCTTGACTGGGTTGAAGGGAAGACTAGACAAATATTTTTTGAAAGAAATCTGTAAAAAAATTAGTAAATTAAAAAACAGTATCAACCCTTTTTGTTTGAGCTGATTTCACAAAGTCTGAAAGAGTGCAAAGAGGGCAGTGGTTTTTTATTTGTACTTAGCCTGTTCTTCTTATCTGTCTGCTTTTCCAAAGTGTTGAGATAGTTGAATTTACGCTAGCATACATTTTCAATGTGCAGAAATGAAAAAGGAGAATGTACTTCTAGCTGCCTACCTGGAAAGATCTGTTCCGGTTCCTCAAAAATTAAACTTGGGTCTGCTTTCTTGAATTTACTCTGCTATGTTTCCAGGCAAGAAAAAACAGTGAACTAAGACCACAGGCTACTATAAACATAGGTACAAAGAAAGATGTTTATGAAGTATATTTTAAGCTCCGTATTAAATTCACTTAAGTAAATTGATACACACTTGGTGTACTTGAAGTGTACCAAGTAGACTTGTTGACGGGTACACCTCTGTAAGGTTTTCTTTCTCATACTGAGCCTGTAATATAATTGTACTTAGTTACAGGTGTATCACCCGAAGAAAAGGCTGCAGAACTGGAAACAGAAGTCCCTGTTGAAATTAATTCAACTGAAGTGGAAATGTCTCCTAAAAAGACACCAGCATCTGGTGACAGTCAGACTGAGAAAATGATGGACGTGATGAAAGGTGTTCCAGCTGCAATACAGCAGGAGTTAGACAAACAAGTGGAAGAGACACAGCTGCCACAAGGTAGTGTGGAGGTATCAGGGGGATCCACAGTAGACTCTCGGTCTCTGTCTTCAGTACCTGAGACTGTAACTGTGACGCCAGAAATACAGGAGACTGACAGTAAAGGAGATATTTGCATCCCTGTGGAACAGCAACTGGAAATAATCAAAGTGCAAAATGATGTAGAAAAAGGAGAAACCCATGAAAAGTCAGAAACACCAGCTCTTCTAGAAGCAGAAACTACTTCTGCAAATGAAGGTGTTGCAAATAGTTCACCAGTTGGAGACAAACCCATAAAATCACCAGCTGAGACTTACCCCTCGCTTCCCCCAGCAGTTAATACAAGCAAGACAAATGCATCTTCCTTGCCAGGTATTTCATTAGACTTGCATTCTGCACGAGATGTGCAGCACAGTCAGCCCCCAGCATTGCCTTCCGCTGCTGGAAGTGCTCTCCCAACGACTTACATATCAGTCACTCCAAAAATTGGCATGGGAAAACCAGCCATCACCAAACGGAAATTTTCGCCAGGAAGACCCAGATCAAGACAGGTAAGCATGTGGAGTATTTCCATATACAGTTATGAAGCACGTAGTTCAAAGTTCAGCTTAGTGCATTAAATTCACCCTTTTTTTTAGGATCTAGTGTGCATTTATTCTTCTAAGTGAACATGTAGTTTGTTCCTTCCAGACAGTAATGTCATGTTAAATAATTGAGAGGTCAGACATCATAAAGGCTCTCTAGTAAGAACTGACGTTTCTTTTGGTTTGTGCTTAGAGCAGAATAACCAAAGATTTGTTACATTTTGTATACATATGCTACAAATGCAGATATGCATAATACTGTGCCTTATAACGTATCTCTTTATCTTTTTCATGTATGTATTTATTTTGGCTAGTTCTTTCAAAGAGTGTTAACATTTCTGAAACTGGCTTTATAGAAAAACCTGTGACAGCTCCGGTTTCCATCACGCTGCCAGATATTCTCTTGAGTGACTCTTTTTTTAATAGTGTTGCAAATAGACGGATGGTTTTGTTACATTAGCAAATGCCATGTAAAAACTGTCTGGGACAAGTTGTTGTGGTTTGACTAGGATTAAGTTTGATAAGTAAGAAGGATCTTTAAGTCTGTTGCTTTCTACAACATCCTGCTTTCTATTCAAGTCCTGTAGCTGTGGGAATAATACTTCATCCATCTGTAGGACTTATTTTGTGTTTTCAGAATTTTACACAAAAAGTATGTCAGTGTGACAAATTAGTCTTTTGTTTCTGTTCTCGTCATAATTTACTTTCAGACTTCTATGTTGGTGATTTCATGCTTTTCTGAGCTTAGTGTTAAAAAAGCTTTTTATATATTGCACAATTCTTTACATTTTTGCGTGTGACCTAAGGGTTCAAAATTCCTCGTTCTAAAGAATAAGTATGAGAACAGTGTTCTGAAAGGGTTAAAAGTGTATAATAAAGATAACAAACACAAGAATTTAAATTTGGAAGGTTTCAGAGCATCTCTTGTTTTGGTTTTTTTTTTATCTTTATGTACAAGCATGTATAAAAATAGTCTTAATACTCTCTACTATCTTAAGAGTTTCTCACCTTATCATGCAGGTTGAAGAGGGATAGACTTCTTAGGCAGTCTAAAATGAATTAATATTTTCTGTTTGAGACATTTATTTGTCTTCTTTCATGTTCTGGTAAGAGTTGTACTTGTTTTTCTGTGCAGTCTGCCCCTGCTCTGCATGGGAACTAGCATTGTGTTGCCGTTGTACTGGCAATAAAATTAGCTAACCACCAGAGAACCCACTGAAGAAAACATAAAGACTTACCCCAGCTATAAATGCCTGTAGCAGAATAGATGCACATCCTAAAAAATAAAGAAAAAATCAGCTGTAAAAGTAGCAGTGTGTATGTTCTATGTATAACATAGACGTTAACCTCTTCATATGTGGTATAAAGAAAACTGAGTTGGTTAGTATGTGGTGTAAAGAAAACGTGAGTTGAATTACAGTTATGTCAGGTGTAATACAGTATCCGGGCTGTGATGTTAAATCTACGTAATCTGTTCAACAGCTTGCACACTGTATTTTGAAATAAAAAGGTACTTCGCAGCTTAGCAGTTCCAGTTATAGGATCGGACAAGGTTACTTGTAAAATTCATGATCTGTCTTGTAAAAGTGTGTTGGAAGATTTCTTCTGATTTCAATGATCTTTGTCTTACACTTAAACACCTAGTAACCTGGGACTTTCATGAAGCAAATAGCAATTTTCTGGTAAGAAAAGCACATGCATCCTTTGTTTTAAGTCCCAGTACAGTTTCTTGCTTTCCATTGTTTATTCAGTTTTAGCACAAGTTGGTACCTTGTGGAAACTAGTGAAAAATTGTCTTGATTAAGGACCGGGAGAAAAAAAATTTAAATTAAGACCCTGTGGATACTTGATTAGTGAAAAATAGAGAGTTTCCTTCATCTTCTACTAGTAATCTGAATTCAGCTGAACTAGATGATAGGGATTTAATGTTGGGGAACTTTTTCAGACTCTTTATCAGTCGGTTTTTACTTCTGTTCATCTGATTTTCCGTGCTGGGCAGGAAGGATACAGGTTTTGTATCTGTAGGTAATAATGTGTATTGTGAAAGAGAAAAAGCTTGTATATAATAGATGGTTTCTAAACCCAACTTTGTTATAAAGACTTCACTTTTCTTTCCACTGTATTTAGGAATTCTGTGTTTATTTTGCTGAAGTTAGTTTTTTTTGTAGGTCACTGTGCAGCACAGTGTCTATCAGGTTTGCAACGTGTCTGTGCTTTAAACAGTGACAAAATTAGCTCTGGTGCTGGAAGTTTGCCTTGTTACCTTCCTGCTTTCGGCCTTTGCTGAGGGGTGAAACCTGCCCAGCGACGGTGTGTAGGGCATAAGTCAAGAGATTTAGAAATGTCCAGTTACAGGTAAGTGCTTTCCTCTTGAGCAAGATGTAATTGGACAAATCCACAGTAGGTGAGGCATGGGTTCAAATGTTTTAGCCTTTGAGTTGCGCACAGAAATTCATTTAGGTTTGATTTTGTGGTGTGGCTTTTTTTAATAATTATTTTTGCCATCAACGTCAGTTTTTTTAAAAGAATTCTGTACTTTTCCAAATCAGGAGTTGCGTATAGGAGCAAAAGCCTCATAATACATTTAGTTGTCAAAGAACCCATGTTTTTATCTAATTGTGCTCAGCTTATGTGTTCTGAAAAAGTGCCCTTTAAATATAGTAATTTTTATGTTAATATTTGTTCTAGTTCTCAAGAAAAAAATGCAACATTTCTCTGATATTTGTGCCAGCATCCCTGTGTATGACTCGCTTTATAAGCAACTCATGATGCATGATTTCATAAACTGATTCAGAAATTGGCAAAAGAGGGAGGAAGCCTTGTAGCTGGAGCTGTAGTCTTCCTTCTGATGCTCTCCCTTGCCTGCCTTCAGCACTCTCTGGGCGCTGACGTGTCCCAGGGTCTGGTTTGGTTTTTTTGTGACTGTTTATTGAGGCAGGTTTGAAAGCAAGTGAAGAAGGTTTTCACCAAGTATAAAACCAAAGAATTAAGATGTGTTGTTTATTAGGACATAACTTAAATGATAACATTTTCTTAGAGACATAAACTTGTTTTAAAATATTTTAGCATAACAGTGTTTCAGTGCTTGCCTATGTGAAGATGATCATATTGTTCCACAATATGTAAAAGGTGGGGAAAACCACTCTGAAGGAAAAGAGGCTTCTGTGCGCTTACAGGCGTAGCAGTTCGGAATAAACCAGGTCATGTGTGGTTCTTCTCTGCTTGTCACTGAAGGGGAATTTTGCCCTCTTAATAATTTTATGGCTCTCTCTGTTTAACTTGTAATACTGTTGAGTTGCTTTGTGTTAGGACCTAGGCTATGCCATACCTACATTTTATGCAGCTGGGTAAGTTCTTAGCAACGTGCCTCAGAGGGCAGTGAAAAAAAAAGTTACCCAAGTGGGACTGGGTTATTTATATTGATTAAAGAGATTGCGGCTCCTGTACTGGGTGAAACTAATGTTGGCTCCACAGCTGCTGGCTTTTGTTGCACAAAGGGACTGTTGTTGCAGAAGTATTTGCTCCTCCAGGACTGCACAGGTTTCACATAGATGTTTCATAAAGAGTGTGATGACTCCGTGGACCCCGAAGACAAGTCGGCAGTAGCCAGTTTCCACAGATGGCTGTATTCTTCAGTTTCTCCTAGAAGATTTAAATCTTCTAATATGTAGTTTACTTTGTTGGAATGTCCCGTTCTTAGGGGTTTTTTTGAAAAAAAAGTTTAAAATCCATTGCAGTGAGTTTGTGGAACTTCACAGGAAGAAGAATTGGGGGGGAAAAATAATCTCTGAGTCTTGAATATATTGCTTCTCGATTTTATAAGATGCATGCTTCACTGGAGTCAAGGGAATCAATGTGCAGGAATTGGGATTTCAGTGAATTTAATGCATTGTGTTGGGCATTAGAAGGAATGATTATCCCTTTCTTCAAAATCTATTAATACAATTGCTAATAAAATGTTTGAATAATCGTTCAGTTTTGCTATTGAGTACAACATTATGCATAATCTGAAGTGATTTTCTGTATTGGATTTTAGTAGTTTGCATTTAGAGTAGGTTTTAGTCTACTGCCTAGGTGTCAGCAGCACCACTACATCACTCCTGTTTTGAAAGGACTAAAAACCCTTCTCACAAACGTGAGGACAATATTCTACTTAAAAAGGCTTCGTGAGTCCCTTCAGGGCTGCACTGTCTGTGCCGCTGTCACCACTACCCCCTCCCATGGTGGCCTTTTTGCAGGCATTGCTGCTTTGGTTAGAAGCAACAGGAGAAAATCTGGCTATTAAACAAAAGAGAACCTATGTATAAATCAGTATATAGGTACAGCTGTACTGCTAACAACTGCTTTGGCTGGTACAAGCTTATTCAGCTTCGGAGAATGTGTTTTTTTCTGTGGCAGCGTAAGAACTCCTGTCAGGAGGGTGGAGTTCTGCTAACAGTGTTTGTTAGGAAAGCGCGTTGTCCGTACCTTCAGCTACAGGTGAGCTCCAAATCTGCATCCAGCTCAACGAGAGGACCCTCTTCCCTGCCAGGCTTAGCATCTTGCTGACTTCCAGTAGACACTGGTCTACGGCCTGTCTCTTTTCTGTTTCGGTTATCCCGCTTCGTAGCAGAGCAGGGTAGGTTTAGGCCAGATGTTGGGAAGAAGTTCTTTGCTATGAGGGTGGTGAAACCCCGGCACAGGTTGCCCAGAGAGGTGGTGGAGACTCCATCCCTGGAGGCATTCAGAGTCAGGCATGATGGGGCTCTGAGCAACCTTATCTAGTGAAAGATGTCCCTGCTCACTGCAGGGGGATTGGACTGGATGACCCTTAAAAGTCCCTTCCAACCCAAGGCATTCCGTGATTCAAATTGGTTTTTTGCGTATGTCTGAAATTTAGTTGTTGAGAGGGACCCACTGGTGGTGTGAGTTTGTCACACACTGCCGGTGTGATGACATTTTTTACTCCTCAGAGTTGTGTCTGTACG